CCAGCCCGTCGGGGTCGAAAGGGATCCAGGGTCCCGTGTCCGGGGTTCGAGGTTCGGGGTTCCTGGGTCCCAGAGTCGCGGCCCGAAGCCACTTACCCAACGGGGCCGCGGCTCATGGCCTGCGAGGCGAGAAGCCTGCGCGCCGGCCTCGCTCTCCGGGTTGCCTTGGCCCGCTGGGCCTCGGCGCCCGCGCCCCCGGACCCCACCCCTCCCCGCCCCCCAAAACGCGAGAGGCACCTAGCCTGCGCACCTGCCCCGCACGCCGGCCCCCAAAGTTGGCCCCTGAGCGGGGGCGAGGAGCCGGGATCCACCCCAGCAGGGGAGAGGCGCGGGCTCGCCTGCGTGCACAGGGAACTCCATAGTGGCCCGGCTGCCTGTCTGCCTGCTTATTTTTAAACAGACATAAAGAATAATAAGCTCAGGGTTTCTGGGAATCTTGCTTCCCAGGGTGGGAGATATGTGCTGCTGCGGGGATTTGCGAATTTAAAATGTTTTTTTGCAACAAAGGAGCCTGTTGCATGGAACACGTTGGAGCCACCCGTGAAAGGGATGGCACAGTATGTCCAGGTCCATGGGTAGAAGAGAATTGTTAAAACTCTTGGTAACCATTAATAAAATTCTTGCCTTGACTTAGTTACCCACTGCTGTGTGAAAAGTCAACAATAAAATGCATGACTCTAAAAATGCAGCCTAGCCCAGAAGACAGATACACTCAAAAATAAACGAAGAAAATCAGGCACCTGTAAACGTTAAGAGCTGGAAAGTAATGTGTGTATGCGATGGAGCAAGAGAGACAATCAGATTCCTCAACAGGTGTTGCTGCTGCGCCCACACTGTTTGATAAGCTAAACACAACTGCTAAGGGCAGGAACACGTCCATTGAAAAGGAAAACAACAAGGCATCAAGGCTAACAAAATACTACAGCAACAGGAGCAAGGGCCTCTCATAGAAAGGTTTGGAAATGAGTAAAAATCATAGTACTACCTACTACTGCTCTGATGTATTCTGTCACAAAATTATCTCTAAGCAGCTTTCATCTGTTGTAATTGATCTTATACATCATTCGAATTCGTGCTAGTTAAACACAAACACACACACAAAACAAAACACCCTGCCAACAAATATAACTACACAAGACAAATACCCAAACTTAACGGGCTTCAGTTTCACAGGACTTCCCAGTATTCGTTTCTCAACCTATCCATTTTTACCTAAGAAATCTCAAAGTATCCAAAAGGACCTTTGTCTAGTTTATAACGTAGAGAACCCTACTTCCCAAGGGCCTATCATTCCAAAGCTACCCGCAGTCAACCCAGGGCTCAGGCAAAGCGTACATCAGCCACAACAGAATAAACCTGCCCGTTTGCCAGGTTGAGTGTTACACACTAAACTGAACACATAAAGACAGGGCTTTTCAGAATTAAAAGGCCATTGACACATTTCAGAGTCTTCCCCTGAGGTTAAAGGAAAACACGAGGATGGAAACCTTTTACCGAAAACCTCCATTACTTCCTGAACGTGCACAGGGATGGAATCACTTCAAGCCCAATCTCGGCTCGACGTCGTTTGTCACGTTTCTGGGAGGAAAAAGCAAAACCCTCCCTTCTCGGGCTGATTTCTGGCTGCACACAAAGCGCGCTGTCAACGCAACACTTCTCGGTCCTGGCTCCCAATGCCTCTCCGACAAAGCACCGCGTGCGTAACTACCGCGGCAAGGGAGCAGGCCGCTCCCTCCATCCAGCTGGGAGCCCGGCCTCGCCATGACAGCCGGTCGAGGTGGCCTACCCTTCTGGAGCCCCCGTCTCCGTTCACCTTTTTCATCAATGCCCCGCAGCAGCCTGGCTTCCCGGGCCCCCTCGGGGGCCTCCCGGGTGCCCGCAGATCCGGCCGGGCCGGGCAGCCCCGGGCCCCAAATGCAGCAAGACCGCGACGCGGGTGTGGTGCTCCCGCTTCGGAAACAGTCGCCCAGCAACGCTTGCCCCGGCACGTCCCCTCCGCTGCCGGGGTGCGGCTGACTGGGCTGCGGGAGCCGATGCTGCCGCCGCTCAGCCTCCCGGAGACCCGGCCAGCGGCGCCCAGCAGCAGTTCCGGCTACGGCGGCCGAAGGAGACCGCAGGGGCGGAGCGCGGGGAGGGACATGGGCGGTGGGCGCTCCGGACGGGATGGGCGAAGGGCGCGGGGACGAGCACGTCCGAAGTTTTCAGCGGGCGCGCCCCTCTAAGGGCGCTCCCATTGGCCATCTGTGGGCGCGCGCACTTGCTCGCACAGACGGAGGCGGGGACGAGAGGGTTGTCCGCGACGCGGGTAATGTTGTGACGCCGCCTCGCGGCTTTGCGGACTGGTGCGTCTCTTTGGATTGGTGAGTCGGCAGCCAATAGAGTCAGCGCCTGGGCTGTGATTGGTTGAGGCCGTATGACGGATGCGTGAGAAGAAAACGCCGCCTCTGCTCGGGTTGTTGAATCCCGCGCGAAAGAAAAACTGGAAGTGCAAGTGAGGCAGATAAATCCTTCACTGGGTTGAGTGTGTGCTTTTGAAGTTTTTTAGCGGGCGGGTGATGCTGGGCACTTAGGCCCTTTTTCTTTATAAGGAAAATAGAGGAGTGTTTTTTAAATTATAGTGTTTAGGCGTGGGATAAGAGTGTGTTTAAGGATAAACTTGTAGGAAGTAGTAAATAAGCCATAGAGATCAAATGCACAGTATAATGAATACACGCAATATTGTACTACAATTAGTAATGTGATAAATAAGCTATATAGGCGATCATATTACAATATATAAATGCATCGAAGCAACATCGCTGTATACCGTAAATTCACACAATATTACGAGTCAAATTTATTCCTTAAAAAGTTCTGGGGGCGTGAGGGAGGTAGAAGAGGATTTAGGGGGATAAATGGTGATGGAAGGAGACTTGACTTGGGGTGGTGAAAACACAATACAGTGCACAGATGATGTGTTGTAGAATTGTGCACCTGAAACCTGTACAATTTTAACCAGTGTCACCACAGTATATTCAATAAAAAGGAAAATAAAAAGGGGCAAAATATGTTCATAAAGCACCTAAGGAGACACAAGAAAAAAAATTCTGTATATGAAAGTGGGATTTTTAAAAGTAGAATCTTCCTTGTGTCGTCTTCCTTGTAGATGCTTATCCCATTTCATCCAGCAGTGTCTACACTTTTTCATTCGTTTAACGTTGTGGATCTTTTTCCCCTAGTAACTATTTTTTTTAATGACATGATACTGCTTTGTTTTTCCAAGTTACTGTAACTTTGTTAATGCCTTTGGGAATGCAGTCTGCTCCCCACGAATCAGGTTGGTTTCTAAATGGGATGAACCCATATCGTTGGCTAACATTTTCTCGCCAAAGGCGACCATATGTCCCCCAAAGCATTGAACGCATGTGATAAATTATCCAATAACTTAAAGGAAGTATACTGAATCAGTTGCCTTTTCTCAGGAATACTCTTGAACCACCCCTACCTTGAGATCAGAGAAAGCAGAGCCTAAAAACGGTCTGGGGTCCGGAAGACCCAGCAATAACATCAACGAGAGTACACTTAAAGAAGATGGCGTTCCGTTTCTCCCCCACGGTCTCTGGGCCTTCCTCCCCCGTCTGACAGACTAAGCGGTTGGGAGCGAATCCCAACAGGCTTTGTATCGCCGTCACCCCTAGAAGAATTTCGCCAGCTCCCTTGTCTGCGCAGATCGGCCTCTTGACCCCCCCTTCCCGAGCTAGCGTTGTCGATTCCTGACCATGGCTGGGATGGGGGAAAACTGCCGAGCTCGAGCCTGGATCTCGCAGCAGGCGGGAACCCGCGGGGTAATCCAGCCCTCCGCACGAAAGTTCCCGATCACTTTCGGCTCTTTCCGGCCTGTCGTGGCGCTTCGGGCGGCCTCGGCATCCGCGTCGCTCGTCTCGGCTGTTTCCGCGTTCCACGAGCCGCCGTTGTCCCGGCAACGCGCGGCGGCGCTGAGGCCTCGGGGAGGTGAGAGCGGTCCCCT